AAAGCATCTCACAATTTTGTCCCCCCCCACACACACACATATACACACTGCCTCTCTCCGGATCCCCTCGTTTGTCAGGGTTTCCTCTCCCATCACATTATTCTGCACAGACTTCGTACTGACATGGGATCACAGAGCTCAAACACGCACACGCACACACACACATACATACATACACACACATACACACACACACACACACACACATATACACTGCCTCTCTCCTGATTCCCCCGTTTGTCAGGGTTTCCTCTCCCATCACATTATTCTGCACAGACTTTGTATTGACATGGGATCACAGAGCTGAAACGCACACACACATACACACACACACACATACACACTGCCTCTCTCTGGATCCCCTTGTTTCTCAGGGTCTCCTCTCCCATCACATTATTCTGCACAGACTTTGTATTGACATGGGATCACAGAGCTGAAACACACACACACACACACACACACACACACACACATGCACACACACTCATACAAACATACACATGCGCACACACACACATACACGCATACACACACACACACACACACACACACATACACACTGCCTCTCTCCAGATCCCCTCATTTGTCAGGGTCTCCTCTCCCATCACATTATTCTGCACAGACTTTGTATTGACATAGGATCACAGAGCTGAAACATGTACACACACACGCACAACACACACACACACACACACACACACACACACACTGCCTCTCTCCTGATTCCCCCATTTGTCAGGGTTTCCTCTCCCATCACATTATTCTGCACAGACTTTGTATTGACATGGGATCACAGAGCTGAAACGCACACACACATATACACACACACACACATACACACTGCCTCTCTCCGGATCCCCTTGTTTCTCAGGGTCTCCTCTCCCATCACATTATTCTGCACAGACTTTGTATTGACATGGGATCACAGAGCTAAAACACACACACACACACATACATACACACACATACACGTACACATACACATACACACTGCCCCTCTCCTGATTCCCCCGTTTGTCAGGGTTTCCTCTCAAATCACATTATTCTGCACAGACTTTGTATTGACATGGGATCACAGAGCTGAAACACACACACACAACACACATACACACACACACACACACACACACACGCACACACACATACACACTGCCTCTCTCCAGATCCCCTTGTTTGTCAGGGTTTCCTCTCCCATCACATTATTCTGCACAGACTTTGTATTGACTTGGGGTCATGCAGCTGGAAGGGCCGAGGCCCAGGAAGGTGAGGTCACCTTCCCAGGGTCACACAGGCAGGAAGCATCAGAGACAGGATTCAAACCCAGGCCCTCTGACTTCCACATCCAATTCCTTCCACTATCACACTCCTCTGGGTACTACTTCCTTCCACAGAATGGAAGCTCCTGCAGGGCAGGGAATATGTCCTTGCCGTCTCCTAACACCGGGCCTGCCATGTACTAGGCACAGAATAATTCCGTGATGAACTGAATTAAACAGAAAACCCTCAGCCCTGAGAAGTGAGGAGCCGCCTCTGAAGCGTGTCCTCGTCACTGACTGCCTGTGGGAGCCCAGCAGGTCACCTTCCTCATCTCTAATAAGGGAAGGGGGCTGGCCTCTGGCCTCCAACCTCCCTTCCAAGCCACCGAGGCTCACCCAGAGTGAGCGAGGAGCCATGTGCCGGGATGAGGCCAGGGGATGCTGGGCTTTCTGAGAACAGCTGGGGAAGGACAGCCCTTAGCACCCAGCACAGCCCGCATTCCACACATTTGTACTTTGGGGGCAGGAAGAACGGCCCCCCAGGCTCTTAATGCTGAACTCGTGGGGAAGGGTATAAAAATCTTCCCAGAGCTTGTTTTCTGGGGCGGGGCCCGGCGGACAGCTTCCTGCATGGGGAGGAGGACCTGGCTAGCTAGGACTTGGCCCCAATCTCCTGCCACAGAGCTCGGCCTTCTGGGGCAGAGGTGAGGAGGAAGGGCGGACAGCGGCCCAGTCCTAGCCAAGCTCAGACTGTGAGGGCTGGGCCTTCTGAGGACCTAGCTGGCCGGGTGGGCCCCTGCCAGGAGGCCCAACCCCATCGAGGGTTGGGGTCAGAGCAGCAACCACCAACTGGACTGATGGAGGACGGAGGCCTCCCTCCTCTCCTCTTGCCTCCTGAGGCCTTCCTATCGCCAGTTTGTGATTCTGGAGACAGTCAAGAGGCAGACCTGCCACCAGGATGTCCTTATATTAGCAGCTGTGGACCCAAAGTCCATCTGGGACTTCCTGAACACGCAAGCCCTCCAGAGCCCACCTGACAAGCAGGCCTCCAGCTCCTGACTGAGGACCTATGGAAAAGGGTGCCCCATCCCCTCTAGATGGGCCAGGCCCACCTGAGAATAACTCTGAGCAGTCCCTTCTGGAGGCGGCCAGGCCCACCTGGGGACAGCTCTGAGCCGTCCCTTCTGGAAGTGGCTGGGCCCACCTGGGGACAGCTCTGAGCCGTCCCTTCTGGAAGTGGCTGAGCCCACCTGGAGACAGCTCTGAGTGTCAGAAAGACTCAGGACAGATCGGGGGGAAAGATCCCCTGTACACCTTGCGCCCCTCACTCCTAATTCTGCCCACCACTTGCACGGCGGTCCTTTAAGCTCCCAAAGACAGTGACATCCCACACCCACCCACACACACATCCGCACTCTCCATCCATTTTCTCATCTCCTGGCTTGAGGCTGGGGGTGACAGATGACAGTCACTGGGGATTTTCTAAGTGATGTCTTTGTATTACTCCCACAAAGCCCAACAGACCTGCATAAACACTTGAAGCCTCAGGGGAGCCCCAGAGACCCAGAAGGTCCTTAACTGGGGCCTGTGACATTCTTTTTAAAAAAATATTTTCATATTTAAAAAACAACTAATTCCAATCCTATATAAACTATTTGGGAAAATAGGTGAAGAAGGTATCCTACCAAATTCTTTTTATGACACAAATATGGTGCTGATACCTAAACTGGGAAGAGTCAAAACAGAGAAAGAAAATTATGGACCAATTTCCCTAATGAACATGGATGCAAAAATTTTAAATAAAATATCAATGAAGAGATTACAGCAATTTATCTTGAGGATAATAGACTGTGATCAGGTCGCATTTATACCAGGAATGCAAGGCTGGTTCAATATTAGGAAAACTATCAGCATCATTGAGCATATCAACAACACAACTAACAAATCACATGATTATCTCAATAGATGCAGAAAAAAAGCATTTGACAAAATATAACACCCATTCCTATTAAAAACACTGGAGAACATAAAGAATAAATGGAGTCTTCCTTAAAATGATAGGTAGCATCTATCTAAAACCATCAGCAAACATTATATGTAATGGGGACAAGCCAGAAGCATTCCCAATAAGATAAAACAAGGATGTCCATTATCACCACCGGTATTCATATTGTACTAGAAATGTTAGCTGTAGCAATCAGAGAAGAAAAAGAAACTGAAGGAATTAGAACAGGCAAAGAAGAAACAAAGCTTTCACTCTTTGCAGATGATATGATGGCATACTCAGAGAATCCTAGAGAATCAAGTAAAAACCTACCTGAAATAATAAACAAATTTAGCTAAGTTGCAAGATATAAAATAAACCCACTCAAATCACTGGCATTTCTATATATTAGCAACAAAGCCAAACAGCAAGAGATAGAAAGAGAAATTCCATTTAAAGTTACTGTAGACATTATAAAATATTTGGAAGTCTACCTACCAAAACAAACCAGGAACTATATGAACATAATTACAAAACATTTTTCACACAAATAAAGTCAGATCTAAACAACTGGAAAAATATCAGTTGCTCATGGGTAGGTCGAGCTAACATAATAAAAATGAAAATTCTACCTAAATTAATTTAGGTACCATAACCATCAAACTACCAAAAACTTATTTTATAGAGCTAGAAAAGAACAATAACAAAATTCATCCTGGAGAACAAAAGGTCCAGAATATCAAGGGAACTAATGAAAAGAAATGCAGGGGAAGGTGGCCTAGCCAAATCAGATCTTAAACTGTATCATAAAGCAGCAATCATCAAAACTGCTTGGTACTGGCTGAGAAATAGAGTGGTGGGTCAGTGGAATAGGTTAGGCACACAAGACACAGTGGTCAATGACTAGTCATCTGCTTTTTGATAAACCCAAAGACTCCAGCTTCTGAGATAAAAAATCATTATTTCACAAAAATTTCTGAGAAAACTGGAGAACACTATGGCAGAAACTAGGCATAGACCAACATCTTACACCCTAAACCAAGATAAAGTTAAAATGGGTACAGGATTTAGATACAAAGACTGATACGATAAGCAAACTAGGAGAGCAAAGAATAGTTTACCTTTCAGATCTATGGAGAAGGGCCCGCACACTTTCAAAGCAGGAACAATGACGAGCATTTCCAGAGCCCTCCTATGAAGCTCCCATAATGCTTCACACCCCCACACACACTCAAGCCTCACAGCGTCCCTATAAGGGGCGCTACTTGCTTGGAGCCATACCTTTGACATCCTTGTCTTGGGATCTCCCAAAACCCCTCTGCCAGTGCAGGTCAGTGCCTCCTCTCTGTCCAGAAAGTTTTGGGCTCAGAGATATGCCCAGGGCAAAGGTGAGTAACTGGGCCAAGGGCACCCAGCCAGGATGGGTCAGAGGTCAGGGGTCTTCCTGAACCCGAGGCTGGCTCTCCAACCCTCACACCAAACCGCCTCTCATGAAGAAGGGAGGAAGCAGGCTGTGTTGTACAGCCAGGATGGAGTATCTGGCCCCCGAGGATGCCGGCAACCCTGGGCAGACCCTGAGACCAGGAAGTCCCTGGAAGGCCCCTCTGGCCTGGGGGATTAGGGTGCATGTTCAGAGGATTCACTGCCGTGATCACCGGCAGGCTGCAGTGGGAGCGGGAGTGCTCTCCAGAGGGACTCCAGCAAGCCCTGGGGCTGCTGCAGGAGGTCTGCCCTGACAGGCACAGCATCAGAAAACTTACCTTCTCCAGGGCTTCCTTGTCGATCAGATCTTGCACAGCTAAGAGCTTGATGCTGTAAGATCAACAAAATTCAATCAGTTTGGGTCATGAAGCAATAGCTAAGTCAGGCTCCATTCTTTTTCTCTTGAGTTCCTGCTCCTGTGGCCAAACCCAAGGTACTCTCAGAGCTGTAACTAGGGCTGGGTGAGCAGGGCACTGCCCCCCAGGGCACCAAGTTTAGAGGCTTCAGATAGGACTTGGCATCCTTTGTAAGGGAGATAAAAGTCTCCCTCAATTCTCTGCTGGTCCCACCTACCCACAGTGGCATCCCCCACCGGTGGCCTTGTGCCACCGTCCAAGGGGCTCTGCTTCCCCCCTTCAGTTGAAGGAATTTTTTGTTCTGCTTATCCCGAGGTTGGCTTGTAGGCTTGCCCCAGACCCCAAATTCCTAGTTAAAGCTCTGCTCACTATTCTTCCCTAAAGACACTTTCTGTTTCAAGGCAGTGACTAGGATCTGTGCCCACAAAGGTCCCCCACCCAACCTCATCATGAGTGTAGCCTGGCAGAAACAGGGCCACAGTCCTGGGAGACCATGGTGGGCAGTACAGGGACAGAGCAGGGATTGTACATCTCGGAGCTAGTGAGATTCTGATTAACGCAGGGCTGCGTCCAATAGCACATAGCGGACGACCACAGGAGCTCAGATTTAGAAGCCTTCTAACGCAGCCCCTTTAGGAAACTGAGGTCAAGAAAGACAAATGGATCTGCCCAAGTTCTCCCAGTGGGTCGACATCTGAGTCAGGATTTGAACCCAGGTCCTCTGAGTCTAAGAACAGGGCTTTTCCTGCTGCTTCCCCTAACTGCGTCATAGGAAACCCAGGCGAAGAATGCCATCAGTGACACCATAGACAAGGCTCACACTGCTCAGAGAGGTGCTAAACTGGGATGCCTTCTGGACCCAGGCTGACCCAGGAAAACATTTTTATTGAATATTCTTATGATTCAACAAATATTAAGCACCTACTGTGGGCCAGGCCCAGTGCTAAGGACTGGGGCAACTATGGAGACAAAAACAAAAGTCTTGGCTTCAATGAGCTGACGTTCGATCGGATGTTTGCACCAAAGAGCTGCTCAGGTTTGCTGAAAACACCGCACACTATTCCAAATGCAAGCCAGGCTCTTCCTTTCCTCTCCTCAATTCAGAATGGAGAATTCTCCAATTCCAGAGCATGCCCCATTCATATGTGCTGATACACTCACTAAGGGGACTTGGCCTGCCCTCCTCCTCTGCGGGCTCTAGTCTGGACACCAGGCACTTTTCATCCACTTAGTGTCTCCTGTATGGATTGTTAGCCCAACCTCTCTTGAGGACTCACAGGCCTCACTCTGTAACACAATGGAGCTTGGACCACTCAACACAACACTGTCAGTGGGCAGAAGCATTCGGAGGACCCTGCTGCCCATAAAGAACCCCATCTAGTCCCAGAGAGGCCGTTTTTCTAGCCTGGTGGAGGCTTCTGAAATCCTGTTTCTGCCATTGCCTGTAGGGTCTGCTATTCCTTTAAACTTTGGGAGGTTTCTCATGCCTTTGTCCACGTCCTCCACCATTCCAATGGATGTGCCACATCAGTGTAGGAATCCCCGCCCCACCCCTGCCAGTGACTCAGTCCACCATCCACCGTCTGGTGCGACTGATGTCCTTGGCTTCCCATAAATGATCTATGGGGGCCCACCGGCATGCTTCAAGGCCTTCCTCAGTTTCTCTTGACATCACAAGCACCCCCAACAGAACACACGGACTGCTGATTAGTGACTCCCTAATCTCACCGTGTGACCAGCCCATCTTCTAAAGCAATGATTTCAACTGGGCAATTGCTAAGGATTTGGCCAGGGCAGGGCTGGGACAGATCCCTAAGGCCCTCTACTAGAGACTTCCATTCCAATCTAGCATCTGTACCGGCCCCCACACCTCCATCCTTGCTCACAAGGGGAGACAACCCGAGAGATTTTGTCCCAGCACTCCCCTGATCCATCGGTTGAGGACTTCCACCCAAAAGGGAGAAGAGCTGAGTCTGGAAGGACCACGCTGGTGTGGTGACCACAGCTGAAGGAGGAGAGCCCAGAGGCTCTTCTGGGAGAACCCTCGGCTTGGCTTTCCCAAATGATCTCCCTAATGGGGCCGTTTGGGGCCCAAGAGAAGGAAGCGGTTAGGTCCAGGAGATCAGGCCCCTATTTCATAAGCCGAGGGAATCCAGAGCACTAAGGTCTGAGAAAAGAAGCCGGAGGGGCCCCCGAAGAGAAAGGGGGCAGGGGCAGGGATGAAGCCTCTGCCTTAGTCCCCTGGAGCAGCCCAGGAAGCGTGGGAATGCAATTTCATCTCGAATGTGCCTGAGCCCTGTCTTTGGGGCTTTGTCTTTCTGCTGTGTTTTTGTCAAGAATAATTACGATTAATAATGATAATTAACTCTAAGCATGTGGCTCAGAGCATCCCTCTCAATTTCCACCTGACAACATGGGCACAGACGAATCCAGGATTTCTGTCATCTCCTTTGTTGCTCCAGCTGTGCCATCATCCTCAGCAAACACCTAATTATCACCTTCCAGCTGCTAGGGCTGGGGTGTGGGGGCCCAGGAACCTGGCCCTCCCCCACCCAGCTCCAGCCAGAACCAGAGGTCCAGGACGGTGGGTGGCAACAAATCACATGAATGGACTGTGCCACTACTGGACTGCCCTAGCTGCTTCCTGCTGTTTGACAAGGCTCGACATGACTCAAAATGTGCTTCTCCTCATCAAGGGGCAAAGTCCCCTCCTTCCTTCTGATCTGGCAAGGAGCTCCAAAATCCACAGGCCCTGGGGCTCCTGCCCCCTGAGGGGAATGGGGGACAAACTCCTAGGGTGCCTGGCAGGTGACCCGGCCTGCCACTGCCCTGTGAGGAGGGCGGAGATGCTCCCGGGCCTCCCAGGCTCTCCTTCCCCTGGCTTCCCTGGCAGGAGCTGCAAGAAGCGGCCAGGGCCTGGTTCTTGTGCCAGCCCCCAGGAAGGGCCGGGGTCGGGGAATGGGGGAGTTTCTGTTTGCGTCTATCTGTCTGTGTGTATGTCCGTGTGTCTGCGTGTGTCTGCATGTGTCTGGCTCAGTCTGTGCCCAAGGCTGGACCATCTGGGTCCAGGAGAGCCAATCAGCTTCCAGCCTATTTATCCAAAGGCTTGGGTTTCCATGTTCCTGTGAAGAAGTCTTCAATTTATGAAAACTACTTCTATGGGTTTGCATTTGTGTATCAAACGAGAAATTTCCCCAGAAATCTGGGTGCTCACAGTGCTCACTGCATACTTGGTGGGTTCTGACAGTCAGGCCTTCTCTGTCTCCCAAGGCCCGTCAGTGGGCCCAGGGCCTCCACCAGCAGGGCTGGCTCCAGGTGGGGTGGGGAGAGGGCAGCTGACACCCATGAGCCCTCTGCCCTTGAGACAGGTCGCCTAGGAGACCAGGAGTCCCTGGCTCGAAGAGAAAACCCATCCTGAGGAGTTCAAAATTCAGCACCTGAACGTCTTCCTCCCGAGAAACAGGCATAGCAAAGGTCATTCCTCCATGCCTCAGAAGGTGTGGATGACCACAGGGGAATCCCCCAGCTAACTCATGCTGCCCACCCACCTGGGAGCACCAGCAGTCATGATATTCATCAGTACCTGTCTGTTTAGGACAGGAATGACTGTCTCTGCATACCTGAGGGAGCCAGGCCTTCCTAGCTGATCAGCCCTGAGTGCCTAACCAGTCTGACAAGTCCCCAGAGCCATCAGCCCCTGGGGGGCGTGGCTGCGGCTGTCTCACCAGCCCGCCTGGCACCAAGAATTAATCAGCTTTCCCTGCCTGGCTCTCGGTGGCACAGGCACAGTTGCCAGGGGAGATAGAGACGGAGACAAGGCACTCCGGGAGGCCCCAATGGCCTGGCTTCAATCCCTCTGATGGCAGGTACAGGGGTGCCCAGGGATGGAAGCCAATGACAAGGTTCCAGAACTCAGTTGCTCTGAAGGGCCAGCATCGGACAAGGCAGAGCAGCTCGTGGAAGGGCCCAGAGGCAGGGAGTGTGGCCTCCAGGCCTCATGGCAGGGAGTGTGATCAACAGAGACAAGGGCTCATCCCCTGGGGGTCCTGTGGCAGACGTGGGCAGGGGGCTGGGATGTGCCAGGAACGCCTTCGGGGAAAGGGAAGCTGGCAGACAGCACTTTCCAAGATTTAGCCTCAGAGAAGTGGGAGGCCCAGACTCAGCCCAAACTGGCCCCCTACGGCGGTGGTGTTCCAGCACAGCCTGCAGTGTGGACCCTTCTGTTGGCACAGCCGCCAGCTCTGCAGCAGTTCCTGGGAAAGCCTACACGGGACGCGTCAAGCCGCTGCCTGACAAGGCGACCCAGTGTCGGGACGGACACACGGACACCCGGGGCCAGCAGGTCGCTGGGCTGTCTTATCTGTGGGCCCACTATGGCAGGCTGACTTTGGGTTGGCCAGTGACGTCCCTTCTCGTGGCAGATCACAGCCACCCCAGGTGGGAGCCTGGCACAAGCCCAGCTGAACACTTAGCCCTGGGCCAGCACGTGGCCACAGAATGTAGCCACAGAACATGGCTGAGGTCCCGGCCTTCTGCCCTCAGCAGGCGTTGCCTGAGTCTGTCAAAGATGCCGAAGGGGAAGCCCAGCCGCGTCTCCTCCATGATCTGGGGGCATGGCCACATCTAACCCGAGGGAGGTCAATGACCAGTGCCCCGGTGGCTTGTGGGAGCTGCTCCCCCTCCATCTGTGGGTTTCTCCCAGAAGCTGCGACACCCTGTGCACTCAGCAGTTTTATTTTCATCAGACCAGACACGTTCCTCTTTCGAAAGTGTGAATCCTAGTAATGGGGGAGATGTCTGCTCGGGTTCCTGGCAGAGGGCACTGGAGGCCGGGTTACTCCAGGTCACTGTGTACGCTGGGCAGGAGGAGTGGGAGAGGGGCCTAGACAGGAGCAGAGTGACCTCCTCAGCACCACTGCCTTGGTTTTAAAATGGCCCCGTGAAGCCCCCAGAGAGCCAGGCAGGATGGGGCTG